ATAGTTTATTCCTGAACCAACAAAGTTCACGTATTCCTAACAAATATGTAATCCAACCATCTATATCACTACTGACATATAAACTCTCAGAAAATCCAATAACAAACAGGAAGAAAAAATATCAATGACTTTCAAATCACAAAAGCATTAATGTAACGGCAGTTTACTTGGATTAAAAAAAGAAGTTGCCACTTTCCCACTCCTTGAGTATTTGGCCCTGTAAAATTTCGTATGAAGCTCGTGCAAAAGGTGATAGCCTACTCAAATCAAGATTCATGATGTGTTCTTGATCGGATCTTTTTTGGGCTGTCTCTCTCTGCTCTTGCTCCTTGAGCCTCATCTTTTGATCCTTCAACTTCATTTGATGGGACTCTTCCTTCAGTTTCTGATTGCGCTCTTTTAACTCTATCTCTCTTTTCATCATTTGCTCTCTAAATGCATACTCTTTTTGTTGGTGTTCCTTCTTTAACTCCAACTCTGCTGTACTAAGCTCAATCTGTTTATCTAACGAGCACTGTAATTTACTCAGAGTTTCTATAACTCCATTATCAGTGCTTAACTTCCGCTTTCTTTCTTTGCAGCTTTTCCTTCCTTCTGGACGGATAATTTCATCGCATTTCACTTGTTCAGGTTCCTTGGAACAATTCGTAGTGTTGGGTGATGTGCCTTTATCTGCCACAGTTGTGTTTTTGTTGGTTAAAGAATCTTTATCAGATGGGCAGGCCTTTGTAAGCTGATTTGTAGACCATTTTGCATTCTTTATCAACAGTTCCCAGCAATGAAGAAATTCGAACTCTTTCTTCTTCTTATCACTGAAAGCCCTTTCGTACCAACTCAAAGCCTTTTTTTTTCTAGAAAAAAAAAGAATATCAAATATAATATATAATAGTTGTGTTTCCTTATAGATAAGTGAAAATAGTATACTGAACAAACACTTGCCATATCTTCACAGTTTGAACCACTTTGGGGATGCCTTGCAAGTTTTTCATAAATTCCATGGAACTTGTTGACCGCTTTCTGAATTTTTTGCCAACGGCATTGTACACTATTACTGTTTCTGGGATTATTGCATTTATCTCCCATTTTATCCCTCCAAACTTGTAAGATCCTCTGCCACATAGCTGTCTGTTTCTGATTGTTACCCACATCAGGATCCATGGAAATGCTCAGCCATGCTTCGGTTAACGCAACATCATCTTCTGAACTCCAGTAGTCTCTCTTAGCAGTTGATGATTGAGAGCCGTTGAGATTATCATGGACATTTTTGGTCTTCTTTTTCCCTGCTCCATGTGTACTTTGTGTTTGAGTGCTCTCAATTGATATTATAGGAGTGTTTAGAAGATTTTGGTATGAGAAGGGGGGCATATGAAGGAGGATATGACCCATTCAATGAATTAAATTGATATGGGGGCTGAAAGGGATGGCTTATTGGAGTGAATTGATTTGGAGTTTGGCTTGACATGTTAGGATGATTGGAATGTTGGGAGCTTGAGAGCTGAATAGTCCGTGGATCCATGTCAAAACTGTACCTGTACATAATGAATAACAGAACCATAGAATGATTTTTGCCTTACAAAAGAGTTCCTTCATCTAAGCATATGAATCTCCTTATAGTCAAAAGAGCATTGTTAGTTTTGCTTTTCCTGACCATTGTTTGTCTTATCCTATGGCCTAAAAAGCACAAAGACAGTCTGCCAGCATTCTTGAAAATCATAGTACCAGAAGCAATATGCTCAAAAGCAAAGCAACTTTCACAATAATAATATGAATGCTCTTATCAATTCATACTTACAAGTCTCTGTTACTCAAAACACAATTAATAAGAGATATTAGCATGTCAGAAAGAATTGAATTAACTCATTTTGGTGTTTTCATATGAGAACTTACCCTCCTCCATTAGCAAAATCGCTTCTCTGTATATGTTTCATGGGCTAAAAGAAAATCCAAACTCGACCATATCATATTTAATAAACATCAATCTCACAAGGGTAAGTCAAATTCACTTGGGTGAAACTAATATAATGAAAACAACATCAGAACTTAGATATAACTATATTCAAACATATATTTGTTTTTAGGAAACCGGATTTTTAATTCCATTAAAATCCAACATACACTAATGACAACAAAACTCTGAGAGCTACCTGGATTATAGATGGCAAAGGACAGTCAAAAGAAACAAACTCAGAAATAAGAATGCACCAGAAAATTAAGAAAATCTCTCCATTGCACCAAAAAAATAAGTAATCAAACGGAAAGATGAACAAAGCAAGACATTATGAGGAAGTGTTTTAACCCCACAAACCTTTCTCTTGTCCAAACACACACACACACACCTGCATGATAGCTACAAATGAAAGATCTAAATTAGTCGCCAGATTAGTTGAATGGCTGAAATCTTTGGATGAATTAAACTGGTGCGATACTAGTTTAAAAGAGAGTAGGGGAGGGTTTGGCTAGTCGAACCCTTACCCAGGGAATCTGAAAACTATAATTTGAAAATCAAAAGCTGGATGATTCGATGGTGATACAATGACCATCTCGTGTCTTCCTTTGTTTTTGAAAATCAGTCTTTGGTTTCAAAGTTTTTTGCAGAAAGTAAAATAAAAATGCCTAACTTCAGTTTCCCTTAAACTTCTCAATCCCTTCGCAGATTGAAGAGCTTCAGAAATCAGAACTATGGCCGATTACTATTAATTAAACCTAAACACAATAGCAAAAGAGCTACAACTCAACAATCATTAAAGATGACATTTACGAATAGAAGAATTTCTGGATGTGCGAATTTGATCGAGTGTTCGTCAATGGGGTTGATAAAGAGAAAAAATTGAAATACCTGAGAATAGAGTTGGCGGCTTCAACTCAAAAGTATGTGAACTGAGATCTTTGGCAGAGAGACGGAGGTTATATGGGTTTTCATTTCCCTCTCAAAATTTCAGCTGGCGCCTTTTTTCCAACAAAAACGGATGAGTCAGCATGTTTCTCAGCCTTTCTACACTCAGAAGGCCAATTTCACGGTGTGCAATTTTTTTTGACAGCTCAGCAATATAAAAAGATGGACTACCTGCGTTGGAGAGCAAAACAAATGCGTAGTGTTAAAATAAATGACGTGACGCATAAAACCTAGACTAAACAGCGGTGCATTGCTGTTGCTCTCAATTCACGAATTGCGCCGAAGACTCATTAGCAGTAGGGTAAACCACTCGACAGTAATTGTGGTTAATGAAGAGTTTGTTCTCTTATTGATTCTACCATTTAGTACAGTCAAGGTTTCCTCTATCCCTCAATGGTGAAACTGGTAGTAGTTATATACAAATTTTATGCATGTAAAAAATGTATTGATAAAGAACCTAAAACGGAGTGGATAAATCCAAACTAATAATGCAATGTAATACAACTATATTCCACTAATAGCCTCTAGCAGAGCTACTGATAGCTTAAAAAACTGTGATTCCTCAAACTTTTCTCTCCTTTGGTTTGTGCCTCATAGCTTCCTTAGCCTAATCGCTTTGGGTGTAACCTGTATAGGAAACAATAAGCGCATAATGAAAGACAGCATACAAGATTCTGCCTTGTGGGCAAGAGAGCTATATACCACGACTAACAACCAACCTATCACTAATAGAGTAACAGTGATCAATAGTCAACAAAGGATAACTCAAGTCATCTAATGCAAGATACATATCAGTTCGATCTACTGAACACACTTCTGAACGATCTATATTCAGAATTCCTCCGAATGCAGTTGAGAAAAAGTTAACTGCACAGTCTGCACAGTTGACAAATTTTATGCATGTAAAAAATGTATTTATAAAGAACCTAAAATGGAGTGGATAAATCCAAACTAATAATGCAATGTAATACAACTATATTCCACTAATAGAATAAACTGTGATTCCTCAAACTTTTCTCTCCTTTGGTTTGTGCCTCATAGCTTCCTTAGCCTAATCGCTTTGGGTGTAACCTGTATAGGAAACAATAAGCGCATAATGAAAGACAGCATACAAGATTCTGCCTTGTGGGCAAGAGAGCTATATACTACGACTGACAACCAACCTATCACTAATAGAGTAACAGTGATCAATAGTCAACAAAGGATAACTCAAGTCATCTAATGCAAGATACATATCAGTTCGATCTACTGAACACACTTCTGAACGATCTATATTCAGAATTCCTCCGAATGCAGTTGAGAAAAAGTTAACTGCACAGTCTGCATAGTTGACAAATTTTATGCATGTAAAAAATGTATTTATAAAGAACCTAAAATGGAGTGGATAAATCCAAACTAATAATGCAATGTAATACAACTATATTCCACTAATAGCCTCTAGCAGAGCTACTGATAGCTTAAAAAACTGTGATTCCTCAAACTTTTCTCTCCTTTGGTTTGTGCCTCATAGCTTCCTTAGCCTAATCGCTTTGGGTGTAACCTGTATAGGAAACAATAAGCGCATAATGAAAGACAGCATACAAGATTCTGCCTTGTGGGCAAGAGAGCTATATACTACGACTGACAACCAACCTATCACTAATAGAGTAACAGTGATCAATAGTCAACAAAGGATAACTCAAGTCATCTAATGCAAGATACATATCAATTCGATCTACTGAACACACTTCTGAACGATCTATATTCAGAATTCCTCCGAATGCAGTTCAGAAAAAGTTAACTGCACAGTCTGCACAGTTGACAAATTTTATGCATGTAAAAAATGTATTTATAAAGAACCTAAAATGGAGTGGATAAATCCAAACTAATAATGCAATGTAATACAACTATATTCCACTAATAGCCTCTAGCAGAGCTACTGATAGCTTAAAAAACTGTGATTCCTCAAACTTTTCTCTCCTTTGGTTTGTGCCTCATAGCTTCCTTAGCCTAATCGCTTTGGGTGTAACCTGTATAGGAAACAATAAGCGCATAATGAAAGACAGCATACAAGATTCTGCCTTGTGGGCAAGAGAGCTATATACTACGACTGACAACCAACCTATCACTAATAGAGTAACAGTGATCAATAGTCAACAAAGGATAACTCAAGTCATCTAATGCAAGATACATATCAGTTCGATCTACTGAACACACTTCTGAACGATCTATATTCTGAATTCCTCCGAATGCAGTTGAGAAAAAGTTAACTGCACAGTCTGGAGAGCTAACTCCCCTGGGGTCCCATGTGATAGAATAAGTTTATAAATAGTTCCTTAAAACGGGATACTTCTTCAGCAGAGTGTCTTCAAGGCCTTTGAATACAGCATACAAAACTATGAAGAACTTCGGCACCCTTGCTACATAAGATCTGAGCTCTTTCGGAGACAAATGTCCCGATGTGGAGGGATATTCCAAATGATGACTTATAACATTGTGGTACATACGCAATAGCCCAGACATCTCATTCTCATAATCTCTTTTCCTACGCTTTGCCGACATTTGTGTGATCCTATCGTCAACCATATCAAACCATCGCTCACCGTCGCTTAACACGGAAGCGCCGGCTCTGTTGAGACGTTTCGTAACAATAGAATCCTTCTCTTTCTCGACAATTTCGCTGGCATACCTAATAAACAACAAGGACTTTTCATCCCCCCAAAAAAAGGGGTGATTCAGCGCCTCTTCAGCTCTGAGCCTGTCAAAACATTTGTAATCAACACCAAAAACTCAAGTTTATAACTTTCTTTTTGACAATATTTAGTGCATTACCTACGTGATGGACTCGGGTGAACAAGCAAAGTTAAAAGGTGTCTAGCCTCTTCAACATTTAGACAATTTTCATTCAGTATATAAATGTTAAAATGGATCTGATCTTTAGGCAACTCTCCGGCCAGTATGTGATAAAAGATCAAACCAACTTTATGCATATCTATTTCCTTTCTTCGGTGAGTCCCATGTATAGCAGCCTCTATGCTAGATATCTTAGCTTTAAACATTGACTTTTCTTTCACAACTAGAATGTTGTCGTAATTCAAGTTTGGCAATGTGATGCCTCTCTGGTGCAAATACATCAAGCCTAGAAGAATACCCCTATTATTTATGGAAAAGATTAAAGGTTAAACAACTCTATATTTAAAAAATTACAAACACAATCAAATTATTAATGAAACACAAACCTCATAATATCAACGTTGTTCGTGTGAATATACGGTAGCGCAAAAAATTCTTTTAATGTCATGTTTGGTTGAGCCAATGCACATAATATGCTTTTCAACACAAACTCGATGCACAAAACCCTAATGACATTGTCATTATCGTCACTTCTACATATTCTAATCAGCACATCTTCATCAATACAGTCCTTTGCAAAGAGAATGATACGTGCAGGGCGGAACCTATTAAAGGTTCCGGTGTATGGCCCTACGTGCCCACTACTATAGTTGAAAATTATGATATTAGAACCAACTTGAAGGGTGGAAGAGGTAGAATACGGTCTTCGAAATGATTTTTGAAAGCCTTGACACGAATGTCTTCTAAACCGGAATCTTTTGTTTACACCTCTCTGCACAATGCATGAGGTAATGAGAGAGCTGTAAAAATTAAGTAATTAAATATGTAAAATATGAGGAGAAAACTTAACGTTCAACATCAACTATCTCAAACATTTCTCAAGCTGAAGAAAAAGTAAAACCATATATCAAAGATTTATGCCTTGTTTACTTCTTTTTTCCTGTTTTGTTCTCTTTTTTGTAACTTTCCAATTTGGGAAGAAATATAGCTGTGTGAGTAAATCAGTTGATGACTGACACAAGTTTTTGACTAAAACAATCTGGTTAAAAGGACATTCAACTCATCAGCAAGCGATTTAGGTCCTATACTCCTATAAGCAAGCATAATTGTACTCCAAAAAAAGGAACACTTAACAGGCAGTAATTAATATAGTAAATATACTAATGCACATGTTTCTAAAATGCGGGCATAATGTTTTTTGCAAGTATTGATCTAGAGCATTGACGGTCTGGGTACCAACCAACATATGAAAAGGTGCATCCAGATTGGCAGTTGGTGGAGGAACATGGCGTACAATTGTATCGAACAATTCAGACATGTCTTTGGCATTGTTTGGTGGACTCTTTGTATAAGCCGATGAAGCCCATCCTTCTTTAGCAGAGGCATAAAGAACAGGAAAATCTAATTGTTCCTCTGAAAATAAAGGAGGGTAACAATGAAGAAAATAACCACTGATATCATATGCCCATCACAACTATATGCGGCTATGCCTCTACATAAATAAAATGCTTTTACCAGATAAGGATTAAATTCAATGACATAAGAGCACAAATATCATGTCATACAACCTGAAGCTCCCAGGTTCGCAAAAAGGTCAAAGACAAGAATCCCAACTTCATTGCATCGCTCTTCAGTAACTGCAAGAAATTAATTCAAATTCACTAAAGTCTTGTGCATTGGGCACAAGTCAAAGAAAAACTGAAGATGCTAATAATGATCATGTTTTCTGAGCATTTAACATTAGTGTGATCTTGAATTCAGTCTTATCGCACGTATTAGAATAGAAATATTTCATTTGTTGTTGTTAAGTACAAAAGTTTTCAAGTAAACGATATTAAAATATTAGTATTTTATCAATGGAAATTTTGACTGAAAGTGGCAATCTAAATCTGAAATTCAGCATTTCAGAGATTTTTTTTTGAGCTATTATTGTAGCCAGATCAGCCTTACATTGCTTGGATTTGAATCAATTTTGTATTGTTTTAATGATGTATCCCCGCTCTCAAGCCTTACTTTTCTAGGTTCCATCCATCATCACTTTACACAATAAATCATTCTTCATCATCATCATTACCTCAGTGCCGCCAAGGCTCCCACCTATGGTGGGGTAAGGGGGGTTGGATGTACACAGCCTTACCCCTGTACTAAAGCACAAAGAGGCTGTTTCCGGATGACCCATGGTCAAATTCTAAATTGCATGAACAGACTGCTACATTCCATCATAATCTCAAGCCATTGCAAATGATGGAAATTAACACAAGAAATCATTGTTCAGTTGAAAACAAATGAGCAATTTTAACATATTTGAAGTATAGTATACAATGTTAAATTGGTTGCTACATGGTTGACTGGTTGTCTGTAAAAAGCAACAAGAACAACCCCACAAATTTGCAGGGTCCATGTCAAATTGTGAACTATTAGCACCTAAAGAGACGGTAGATGAAGAATAGGACCATAGATACCTGCAGGCTTGTCTACTTTGTTTAGAAGAAGAACAGGACGTAAACCATATTTCAAGGCCTTGACAAGAACAAATTTTGTCTGTGCAAGTGGTCCTTCACATGCATCAGCAACTAGGATTGCTCCCTCGACCATGCCAACTACACGCTCAACCTATGCCAAGGAAATTTTAAAGGAAAAAAAAACGGTTTAGTTCATGTCAGCCCACAAAACTCCAATAGAACATGTATGTACAGGAGATTGAACTTTAAATTAATTCCCTAAACAAGCAAGAAAACTTGTGGCGCATAGAATTTTCCAATGGTAGACAGGTGCATACTTCACCACCAGAGTCTGCATGTCTAGGAGTGTCAACCATGTTCAGCTCATTTTTTTCCCATGATAGAGAGGTAACCTGTGAGCAATAAAAAACATATCAAATGATATAGGTATGCCTACACACAGAAACCTATAATTCATGACTCTTCCGGAATATGGTCAGCTACACATGATGAATGCACTCATTGGCAAGTCTATGGAGTTGTTTTACTTAAAACTGAAAGAATTACACATTGTGCATCACATGCTATGTTAATTCATTATGCTATATCAAATCGTGTACTCACTACTGAATAGATCCTGTGCATGGCATAGTGAGATACTAATTTTACTTAAGGAAAGAGAAAATTATTATTTTGTAATAGTTTTAGTGTACAGTAAGTAGTGCTCTACACCACTAGCTCAGATTCTCAGAAGGTATACCTCCTAAAAAATATCATCACGCCAGCACAGGCGACAGCTGTATGACCGGCCTTATCTCATCATTGCCGGTGGAATCAAACAAATTGTGCCAGTTTTTCCGAATAAGTTTCTTAGTTTAAGAAATCAGCATTAAGAAATAAAAAAAGAACAGAGTGAGTGAAAAGTCTGCAGTACTGGAGAAATATGTCAAGGGACTCATTACGGGGGGGGGGGGGGGGGGGCTTAAGGAGAGCAGAATTCTCAATTAACTTGAATAGATAGTAATTAACTATAAGAATCAGAATTGGCTATATATGTGGTGCAAACAAAGCCAAAAGAAATTTCACCTGATCTCTCTTATTTTCCAGGAAAAGAGTTCTTGTGAGTTGGGATTGATAAAATCATACGTGTATATTGTTGTATGATTTAGTGACTGCTAATATTTATTATTTAATTCAACTTCGTTTTTCTCCTAGTAGTTAAAGTGTAAGCTTACACTAGTCCCATTGCATTTCTTCTTATCTTGTATTATACTACGTACTCCGTAATATATTGTAACTATCACCTAATCATTATGATCTCACCATCTGAAATATTGATTCTTATGTGAGATTTTACTTCATTTCCCGAAGTTTTATTAAAGCCAGATTGTGAAGAGCAATAAAATGTTTTCATCTTTAAAAGTAAAATGCGGACCTTGGAAGCAGTTGTGATACCACGCTCGCGCTCGAGGCTGATAGAATCAAGAGCACGCTCGGGTGGGATGTCAGCGCCGCACGGGCGGAGGAGCCGGTGCATGAGAGTGGTCTTGCCGTGATCGACATGAGCTATGACGGCGACGTTCCTCAGCAAGCCAGGATCAACCGCACCGCCAGGGGTAGCTGCAGGCGCTGTAGCTGTGGCGGCTGAGAAGGCCCGGGCAGATCTAGTAACCCGTGCATAGTTGTGTAGGATGGAATCAGAGAAGAATGTGGAAGGGAAAACTCTTCTAGAAGATGACCAGAGAGAACGGAGCAATGCACCCGCCATTTCTGCACAGTATCGATGCTTGCTTGGGGCGTTACAGCAGCTTAGGCACTTGCTCCTCTACCGCAACAATTTCAAGTTTGAGTAGAACTGTCATAATTTTTATTCCAAAATAAAAATAATTACTCTCAAGTTTGTAAATTACTGCCATGTTTGAAGTTTGTTATTATCAAAACATGACAGTAATTAGTCCTATATTGGGAATAAAAACATGACAGTCATATTTTGGAATTTTTGAACCTTTTTAGTCCTATTTCGGGATATCTTGGGATAATTACACCTAAAACTTAAAACTGAATCGGTTTTCCAATGTATGACATAACTTGTTTTTTTTCTCATAATAATATTATTATTCTTTACATTTAATTAAAATTCGTAATTAATTATTAATAATTAATTTTCATGGAAAAATATACCATTTTGCTTATATTTATAAAACCCTAACCTTCTACCCATTTTCTACAACCCAAGATTCAACTTCCCAACACTCCCTTTGCAGCCACCGGTCGTCTAACCGCCCCACCATTCAGCTGCCGCCGCACATCGTCCAGCCTCTGCCGCAATTTTGAAGCAATGCAGAATCTGCCGATCTTCAGTCTACTGGCCTGCAAATTGAGATTGCGATTGGAGAATATACTTTTGAGATTAGGTTTTAGATTGAATTTGGGGTTTCTGGACATTAAATATGGGCATTGAACACTATCACTGAATATTTCAATAAGTGTTGTGGATGGTGAATATATATATATATATATATATATATATATATATATATATATATATATATATATATATATATATATATATATATATTGGTTCCGGTGAGAAATTCATCTAATGTGAGAAATGAGAAGGAATCACATCCCTTGGATCTTCACAAATCATACGTTTGCTGCAAGGGTGGTTTAGGTATTGCACTTATTGTTTCTATTTTAACTTATGACCGATTAATCGATCCCTACAATTTCGATCGTTTATTTCTTTCCTTAGCAACGCACGACTTCTCTCTTTCCATTCTTTCCATTTGTATCTTCGTTTCCTTCAACTGAAACGATTGATTTTGCTCTCAATCAGAAGCATCTTCTTCTTCATTAGGCTTCTTCATAATCTTAAAAAGTTCCTTTTCTCTACCCGTCATCATGGAACCAGGTTCATACATTATGTTGTTGTTTTTCTTCTATCTTCCATGCGTACTGTGTTGCATTTTCATTTTAATGCTGATATTCGTCTTTTATTTCTCTAAAGTTGTTTTTTAGCTAAATATTTGTGAAATGGCGTTTTTTGCATTCTTCATTGGAATATTTGTTGAACTTTTCTCTAAAGATTTATTTTCACTGCAACTTATTGCAGTATGATTAATCATCTTTATTGGCTAAATATTATTTATTCATCTTCATGAATTTTTTACCTTGCACGTCTTCATTTTATTGTGTTTAACGTTTTTTAACTTTTTGGATGTCAGAGCAAGAATATATTTCTGGTTCTAACCATATGCATTCTCAAAGTCCAACACATTCCTCCGAGCCTATCCAGCTAACGGTGTGTCCATACACATCAAAATATTGGATTCCAGAATGTGATGAAGCTTACAAGCCTAATGTTGGCATGTTATTTGCTTCTCTGCATGACGGCATTGAATTTTATAAACATTATGCGTCTGTGTCTGGTTTTACTACTCGCATAAGTACCATATCAAAGGCTAAAGACGGCATTCTAGTTTCTCGTTATGTGCTTTGTAACAAAGCCGGTTTTAAAAAACCAAAACTTGTGAACAATGAAATGAGACCACCAGAAAATACTGAAGGTAAAAAGAAGTGCACGAGACGTCGTGTTACCAATAGATGTGGATGTATGGCCCGTGTTATATTCAGACTTAATGGGACTGCAGGTTTCAAAGTTTCATTTTTTCAAGAATGCCATAATCATCCCATGTCTTCTGTTGAGTCAAGACCCTTCTTGAAGGTGAATAGGAATCTTGACATTGGTCATCAAAAGTTCATTTTGAACTGTTCAAAAGCAAACATAGGCACAATGAAAAGTTATAAGTTATATAAAGAGCATGTTGGTGGATATATGAACGTTGGTGCTACCGCCGTAGATTTTAAAAATTTTAAAAGGGATTTGAAAGCATATTTTGCTGGAGCAGATGCACAAATGCTTGTTGATAAGTTATTTAGAAAACAAGAAGTTTCTCCTGCTTTCAGGTTTTCTTATGATGTTGATGAAACTGACCAGTTGACTAGACTGTTCTGGATTGACCCGACTGCCAGGAAAAATTATGCGCTCTTTGGTGATGTAATTTCCTTCGATGCTACTTTCAAGACGAACCGGTATTGTTTTTTATTTTAGCATTATTATTGTTTACATTTATGTACTTGCATTTCGTTGTTCTCTAAGTTGCAGTGGTATTTCATGTTTAGTGCAGTGCAGATACTTATTACGATTATGCATTACTAACATTTTTAATCACAATTGCTAACATTTTAATTTTACCTTTATTTCATGTATGAGTTTATGAATTTTTGTTTCATTATATACTCAAGCAAAGAATATGTTTACGAGTGTCTACTTATCTGTGTTTTGTCAGTTTTCCTATATTTGCACCACAACAATTGTACTTGCATTACGTTGTTCTCTAAGTTGCAGAGGTACTTCATGTTTAGTGCACTGCAGATACATATTATGGTAATGCATTAATAACATTTTCTATAATCAGGTACAATATGGTGTTTACACCGTTTACCGGAGTTGATAACCATAAAAAATGTGTTACTTTTGGAGCTGGTTTGTTGCTTAAAGAGGATGTGGAGTCTTACATTTGGGTGTTTCGTTGTTTTCTTGATGCCGTGGGTCGTGAGCCAAGTTGCATCATCACGGACCAAGACCCGTCTATGCGGATTGCAATTGAAAAGGTATTCACGCGTGCTCGTCATCGATATTGCATGTGGCATATCATGTCCAAGCTTACTCAAAAAGTTGGTCCTGTGTTAAGCAAAGATGAAGATTTTTTAAAAAAGATTAATAGTCTTGTTTGGAGCCATTATATTGAGCCAGATGTCTTTGAAAAACGTTGGATCTCAATCATGGAGGAGTTTGACCTCTCTGATCACCCCTGGTTTTCAAATCTTTTTCAATTGCGTCAGTTTTGGATTTCCTCATATTTTCGAGATTTGTATATGGGTGGGTTAGTTCGAACAACATCTCGGTCTGAAAGTGAAAACAACTTTTTTGGGGAATTTTCAAACCCCCATTTCAGTCTGATCGAATTTTATATGCAATTTGAGAGCGCTATGGATTCGCAGAGACACACATTTGCTAAATTAAACTCTGGTTCAGAATCATTTATACCCGTGTACAAGACCCCCTTGGCTATTGAACGTTATGCATCATCACTCTACTCCCTTTCTGTTTTTTATTTAATTCAAGATGAGATCTCTTCAGCATGCTTCGGTTGTCACATTCATAGGTTGACTGCTACTAATGCTTCTCGTGAATATGTTATTACGGACGACCGCAATCTGACATTTACTATCTCACTTTCCAATGCTGATATGATTACTTCTTGTACTTGCAAGACATTTGAAAGGATTGAGATGTTGTGCCGTCATATATTTTTTGTTTTGAAGGACGTCAAGCAAGACAAGATCCCAGATAGGTATGTTTGCAGTCGTTGGTGCAGGATTGCTCTTGTTCAACCAATGTATGAGCTTGAAGGGGGTTTGATCGAGCAATGTGTTGAGACTGATGAAAAGAACATGTCCATGAATCAACTTTGGTCTGAGATTTACTCGTGTATTTCTATAGTCGAAGATCAGCCAGTCCTTCTTCAACAATTCGTGGATTTACTAAAACAGCATAAAGAAATGCTGCAGTCTTCTTCCCCAATGAATAATGTCATTCCCTCAAAACAGGACATGTTTGCATCGTTTTTGGGCTCTACTGCACCAACCAATGTCACTGTTCTACCACCGCAACAGGCCAAGAACAAGGGTTCTGGTAAAAGACTGAAAGGCAAGAAAGAGCTTATGATTGATGCAACATCAAAACCTAAACGTCTTTGTAGATCCTGCAGTGAATTGTGTCATCATGATAGTCGAAATTGTCCGCTCAACATGTCTTCCTAGTTTTTATTTTTTTTAATGCAACACTTTTACACTATTACTTCATTACTATTACCAGTTTGGTTTTCATTGTTAACATTGTCACATTTTGCGCATTAGTAAACTTTCTTTGTTCGTTTTATTTCTATTGTATTGCATTATAACAAGTACTTAGTAATTTATACGGCAACAAACTCATTACAAATGTTGCCAAAGAGATTGAGTATAGTGCAAACTACATTTTTAAATAATTATTTATACCTTTTTCTTTATTATGCAACTACCAGTAAATCAACTGCTCAAATCAATATAAGATTCAAACACTCACATGTTAAAACCAACGTGCATTCATTAAACCAAAATATCACGTACAAGTCCTAAATAAAAATGCTACTTCACCAGTAACAACAGAATAATATCCTTAATCCTCCTCTTTACGAATATTGGTAAACTGATTGAGTATAGTGTGAACTTCATTATTTTACCTTTATTTATACACTTTTCTTTATTAAACAACTACCTGTAAAACCATTTTTCAAAACAAATACATTCACTATTTGTTCTAAGTTTGCATCATAATAACAAACACATTGCACCCCATCAAAACATTGTTGCACCAGTACTTATTCCTGGCGGAAAGCAAGATTATTTGTTATTAAATCATCTCAAACTGCATTAAATTAGGCGTTCGTAGCACTAAATTTAGCATGTCATGCAACCTTCAAGCATCTGTTTTATCATCACAAATATCATTCGCTGCACTACAAAGTATCATTCCATCTCACCTTCAATCATCTTATTTTGCACCATATGTAACATTATGTGAAAAACATCTGCATTATGTGACTACATGTATACCAACTGCTCAAATAAAAATCAAATGCCAACAATCACATACAAAAACTAACATGTAATCATTAAACCAAAATATCATTCAAAATAAAGCATCATTCAGGTTGCATTGTTTTGTCAACTCTCAAAAAACACTTCACCAGTAACAACAAAAAATATTCTTAATCCTCCTCAAAACCCCTGCATCTTTCATCCCTGATTATTTTTTCTTTTTATCGTACTCATGCGTAGGAAGTCTGTTTGTGTCTTTGAGTTCATTAATCATGCTTGTCACAATTTTATGACAATATCTGTGACGTAGCACTGTGAGCTGCTTCGTTTCACCCGGTTTCAGCCCACAATCCCAGTCTCTCCCCCCTCTACCCTTGTATGTCTCCATGTGGCGCATGGTGTAGATCCCATAGTTGAATACACTCTTTGCTTCACGCCAGTCCATATTCAGTCTCTTTGGTTTCGCTTTTGCCATTGCCCTTGTTGTTTTGTTCTCCAGACCGCACTCTTTCATAAATGTCACCAACATGTCGCGCTGTTATTTCAACAAATACATATTCCAATCAGTATTGCTTAACATCATTAAAGTTTTTATATTAAAGCTGAAATATCTACAACTATAATCATCAGTTTACCACTATGAGGGGCATTTTGCCGTATTTGTTATCGATACTAACTCTATCACCCGCACTGTCAATTATATCCACACTACTTGACTTCATATCACAACATATGAGGTAGCAATGTCTTGGTTGCACTATGGGGAACATGAACTGCACTTATTCAAAAAAAACATTAACTTATCACTCGTCTTAAACCATCCCACCACATTAATAACACTACTTTCACACTTAACAAGTCCACTGCATCAAGTGTAGTCTCTACTTCTTCCATCTCCAAAGCTGCCAGTACAAATCGTTTAAACATTGAATACGCCTCTTCGGGACCAATGTGATCAGCTGTCGTATACAGCTGCAATTGCTTCTTAATTTAGTTCACATTTTACCATGTTTACTGCATCAAACAGTAGTAAACCTTATGCAAACTTACACAAGGATATGATTCTATGAACAATCGTGTAGGTGAGTTGTCACTTTTTCCTATCTCCATCGTATTCATAATCATCGACCACGCATCAAGAACAGTCTCCACAATGTGTTTGCCCTCATCCAACGTCGTTAAATCACCATGAGATACCTCCAGACCTTTATATTTGAATATCACTTTTGACCTGCACCCATTTATTCATTTATTTCATTTAACAAAAAATAAAATAACAACTTCACTTTACAATCTGAATAATATCTTACTTGTCTTCATCTTTCTCTCTAAAAATCCAATCTGCAATCATTTTTTCTTGACGGGTCAAAGTCATTTTTGCATCTACCACGCGTACAATATAAGGCGACTTCTTCAGGTTAGACGCCCTTTGCCTACGCTTAGCTCGTTCATTCCTATTCATCGTCTTCTCCATTTCCTGCACATTCATGTCTCTTAGTTGCAATTGTACTATCAAGTGAGCACTTGTTTTCACTCTCTACATTTCAAAACTTGTACTTTGCATGGACTTACCTTTGGTATGCAGTCTATTGCACTAGGAACCATCGTTAGGCTCATCTCTTTAGCACTCTACGTAAAAAACATGGATTAGTTTAAAATAAGTTAGATCGAATGTTTTCAGTCTCTTCATTTCAAAAGTTACTTGTACTTTGCATTCCACTTACCTTTGGTGTGCCGTCTATTACACTAGGAACCATCGTTTCAGTCATCTCTTTACCACTATACATAAAAAACATGGATTACTTTAAAATAAGTTAGACTGGATGTTATCATTAATAACTTGCATTTCACCTTACCGTTTCATTGGTCTCACTGTTTTTCACATCACTCAATGCCTGGGTTTCCATTTCCACTGGCCCGTCATTACCTCCTTCCACTCCAGGACCTAATATATCTTGTGTCAATCCAATACTAAAAGATGGAAATTCGTCCATCCTTTTCTTGTAACCTGCTCTTCTCACCATTGCATTCTCCATCTCTTTCAGTGCTTCAATGTTGCTTGGGTTACCCCAGAAATCTTCTAATGCTTTTTCCTCGTCTGTTTTTTCCTCAAAAGTAGTACGCAAATCTCCATCTTTGTTGCTATTTAATCCCAGCAACATCTTCGCTGCTTCTTGCAACTTAACAAAGTTTTCATTTTCCAAAACATCTTTTGGTGCACCTTCCACCATTGCAATGATTTCGACAACATGGTTTGCAAATACCTTGGTCTTCTCAGCAAACTTATCCATATACTCCTGCATTCATAAATGTGCATCAGTGCTAGTATGCATCTCCCAAACCCTCATTAGCACAATTAATATTTATTTCATCAGTAAATTTTACCTGAGTTGCATTAAAGTTGCACGTTCCATTCTGCATTTCTTCCAACTCAGCTTGTACATTTGTTGCTCCTTCAACCCTGTTCGTCTGCCCAATATCCTCTCCAGTACCAATCACAATATTCTGATTCTCTTGTCTTAATGGACCATCATCGTGTCCTATTCCAAATCCTCCACCTTTCATCTCTTCGCGTTCCCTAAGCCTCAGTAGCTTTGCATCCCAGCCTTCGAATGCAGGAACACTCCTTACAACGGTTCTCTTGTATACCATCACTCGATCAACATACAAGATCTGCATCAAGTAAACAATACTTGATCAATATTCCTAATATATCAATCTAAAATTCGTTATATAATATAATATTAATCAATTTAACTAAATAATGCCATACAAACAATCATGCCGTTAGAAATATCAAAGGCCCTGTAAAGACCATATCCTTGTTCTCTTCCCATTCTCGCTTATTTTCAACCAAACTTGACACAACACTTTCACACCAATTAAAGTTCCTCACTTGTTCAACATCAGTCAAGTTGTTCAGATAGTAAGGATTTGCATATCCTGCTTTTGTGCTCTCAACTAGAACTGAAACAATAAGAACAATAAAGTTCCTTACAAACCACTCATCTCCATCTGTATGTTTCAGCATCTCTGCACACACCTCCGACGGTGTAATTTTCAAATCTTCTTTTCCAAATAACTTTTTCCACTCCTCAATCATTTCACATGTTTCTTTTCTTTTCATCCTCACTAAGCATTTACCTCCCATCGGTATTCCCAACACATCTGCCACATCACTTTCCTTAATATGCATCTTACTTCCACCTTCCAGAACCAAATCGCATGACTTTGCATTAAACCTGTCTACTAACCAGAATCCTAATTTTGCTGGTATTTCTGTGATGTTAAACCTCAAAAGTGCACCAAATCCCATTCGTTTAACTACAGCTCTTTGTGCATCACTCAGTTTGCTTAATGCATTAACTAGGAGACTTGGCGAAGTTCTGGTTTTGATCGGCCTGTACTCTTGTTTAAGTGTTGAGATCTTCACTCTCTTCTTGTGTGTACGATCACCACCTTGATGTGCCTCCGCAGCTCTAGTATTCACTTCAGCAGTAATTATTGGCGGTGCAACGAAGTCATCATCACTTGCATTAGCGCTCTTGTCATCATCTGTATCTTCATTCCAATTTACTAAACAATGGCCTCTTTTCCTTCCACAGACAACGTTTCCCGCTTTCTTTATTATCTTTTGTGCTTTATCTTTTTTTCCACTCCTTGTGGTTACTTGCTGCCGCTCCGTTGCTGTGAAATTTAAAACAAACCATTAATCTACCCACTATCAATAAACATGCTCATTGCCACATTGTACTACAACAAACATATGCTGCCACAAACAATTCATTTACTGCACATTTTAACCATTTCATTGTAATACAACTTCACTGCAATATGCAATTCCACATACAGTTTCACATATATTCAACTACATCCAAATTCATGTTATGGGATATGCATTATAACTCTCACATAATGCACCAAAACAAGAGAAACACAAATAAAGGACAAATCTTCTTCACTCTATTACATGCACTAATTTATTAACACGCACATACTCATTTGCACTAAACCATCAGAATCCTTGCACCACATTTACCATAAGTCCATAAATACACCCAATCCTTCTAAATACACCTAACTTTTAATGCATGAACATAATTTCTACTCTTTCATGTAAAAAGGTCTTTACTTGTAGTAACTTTGACATTTTGTGCCAATACGCATTATTGTTTATCTGCATTTTTTATTATCAAAATGACCCTTACTTGTACCACAACCTAAAAAAAGGTTTTTTTGTGCAGTAAATCATCACACTGGCCGCAGCACATAAACCCCAAACAACTCAATCCCACTGTTATTAACACACCTCACTTTAAATCGAAACACTAATCTGCTTCTTGTATTGATTGCTCTATAATATTCTACTTTTGCACTAGATTTCTAAGTAATTGCACTACCAACCGGCCTGTCCTCCCCCCTTCCCTACATTAAACCCATCAGACCACACACACAAATAACCCACCATTAATGATTCTTTGCTCACGACACAACATGCAATGCACACACAAATAAGATGCACCATTATTTAAATATACTGAAATGCATGTTCCGTTAACGATTAAGAATACCTTCAGTAGCTTCAACTTCGTCTTTCTTCTCTCTTTCATGCCTTCTCTTTGCCTGCGCTTTCTTCATTTGGCTCGTTCGTTGCAGCAATATCTCCTCTCTCTGAAGTGCTCTGTTCTCACTCTTGTCGATAATACGCGCGTTTGTCGATACTATTTACTTAAAAGAAAGAAACGATTTAATTTCCTTCCTAATTTGAACCCAGGTTATTAAATGGGGTTGGGCATTGCAATATTATTTTAAAAAAGAAACGATTACTTCCTTTTTTACTACTTTGCCTAATTGACTTATACACCCTTCGTCTTAATTACTCCAAACGAACCATCCGTTTTTTATATTCTTTCCTTAAAAATACTGCATCTCAAATCTTTAATTGCTGCCACACGATTTCTCTAATCAATGTCCAGGGTTTTTTCTCATTTCTCATCTAATGATGTCTTCTCACTTGAATAAATATATATATATATAGGTTCATGTGAGAACTTAATCTTAGGAGAGTAAAAAAGAGTAAATGTGAGCCATTAGATGAAGCATCTATTTTAATTTCTAATAAATTTTCGTAGAGGGCAGTTATGTGATTTCTCCTAATACTTAATGCACTCCGTTTATTTCCAAAACGGTCACCCATAATTCTCTCTCTCATCTTTACTATTTTACATGACTCCATTTATTTTGTTTTCAATTTCTCTTTTGCACACGTTTGGTTTGTCATCTTCATAAATTATTTCTTTTTTACTTCAATTGTTCAATGGACATCAGAAATTACAACTTTCAATTCACCTTTATTGAAGTTTATGTTCGACACTTGATTTTATTTTATTTATTTATTTTTGTTCTGTTTCCTATTATCCAAGTTGCACATATACATGTTCAAAGAGCATACGAATTCAATTAAAGTGCTTCAATAAGTATAAGATTTAAAGTATAGACGTGCACAAATGCATGAAGGGGATAGATATTAATGAATAGACAATGCATGTTAATGAGATATAAAGTGCAATTTAAAAAAGTGCAATTTAAAGTGCTTCAAAAATATACAGAAGTGCACAAATGCATGAAAAAGATATATATTAATGAATAGACAATGCATGTTAATGAGATAAAAAGTGCAATATATATTGACTATCGTATAAAAGTGCGCTTAAGAACGTAAACAATTGAGGTTCATTAATATATTAATCTAATGTGCACATATCTACTAAATCAATTGCACACAGTATAAAACTAATATCTTGTGCACATCATTCAAAAGTATTATCACTTTTCAAATTATTCGTTG